ATACTTGGGCCACCCTGGTCTAGACTCTGCTGACTTAGAGATGAATATGGCAAATCTTCTGTTCCCAAGGAACTTAGTCTGGTGGGAGGCCTGACATATGCCCTGCAGGACCTACAGCTCAAAGAAAAAAGAGCAGGATGGGTGAGGTAGCTGGGTGCCTAGGAAGCACTGGAGCTCAGAGATGGGGGGTATTAGATGCTCAGAAGGGCATCTGGAGTTTGGGGAGGCTGCTGTGCAGAAATTAGCTGATTTGCATGGCTTTGCATGTAGACAGCAGATGTGTCTGTGACCTCTGAGTGGGGTACATTGTAGAGGGCACTGGTTTTCCTGGTACCTGAGGCTGAGAAGGGGGAAAGGCATCTGAGCCAGAGGCCTACGGGGAAGACGGCAGCAGATTGCTGGGGGATGGCAAGTGCAGCACTGGCTAGAATCAGGGCGGGTGGTGGGGGAGGGAAGACCATACTGTAGAAGTGAGGCAGGGCCAAGAGAGTCAAAGGCTATGAGGCCCCTGATGGGAGCCGCAACCCTACCAGCCAGAGGCAGGCACAGCTAACACATCCGTCATCCTCAGAACATGCAGACCTACTCGCTTTTCTCCTCTAATTAGGATACAAGATGTCTGAGAATCAACAGTCTTCAGCCAGCCGCGGCCGCCCTCTGGGGCAGCTGGGAAGCAGACAGACGTCAGTGCTGAGCTGTGTCTGATCGGAGGTGCAGGAGTGGGGTGTGGAGAATGCAGGGAGCTCTGGATGGCCCAGGGGGGCGTCTGGACAGCCTGCTCACCCTCATAAACATGCCACTGTCTGACCCGAACGGAGAGCTCTGGGTGCGTGTGCATGCATATGGTGTGTGGGGCAGGCCGGAGGAGAGCAGCTGAGGTGATCCCTGGCCTTCCAGCTGCTTAACACTCACTGACTGGCTAGGCAGAAATTACCATGCCCATTTCACAGACGAAGATAAAGTGGCAACCTAATCAAGGTCAGGTAGCTAGCGAGGGCTGGACTAGGTTCACTGACTAGTAAATCTGAGTTCTGTGTGCCATGCTTCGAGAGGGCCGGAACCCTGGGAGTAAAGGGCACCCTTATTCCTGGTGATGCAGAGCCAGGCGGCGGGAGGAAAGTCAAGTTGTGAGCAGGTCTCAGGAGCAGCTGTGTGCTTGTCACACAGAGAAGCTCATGCAGAGGGGGCATGACTATGTTGTTGGGGGGTGGAGGCCACTGACAGCGAATCCCTTATGGGCGGGAGAAATTGGGTCAAAGGCAGAGCCGGGAGAAAGCCCTGCAGAGGAGGAGGGAAAGCAGGGGAGGAGGGAGCACACGTCTGGTTTCTATTCTGTGACCGTGAACAGAGGCGTAATTGGCGTTTGGGAGAGCTGTTCGGGCTGAGTTCAATCTGTAACAAGTCTTCTTCAATTTCCTCTCCTCAGACTCTGCACAGGCTTCCGAGATTGCTCTGCTTGATGCTAATAAGAGGACACACATCCCTCATTCCCAGGGACTAGCGTCAGCTCCACTGGGCCCTGGCACTCAGGGAGGACAAGTTGTGTTGGGGTGGGGCTGTGAGCTGGGGTCTTGATGCCAGTGGCCCACACTGGTTACCTGAGCTTCCTGCTAAACCCACCTAAGCCAGAGGCCTCACCCCAGCACTCCCCTCTCCGTTGCTGAGACACCGAGGACAATAGCCCTGCCACCATTAGCTGATCACTCGCATGTGCCAGGACTGGGCTATGTGCTTCACCCACAATATACTCACAGCATCCTACAAGGCTGGCCTTACTGGCCCCATTTGACAGGTGGGGAAACTGAGACTCAGAGAAACAAAAAGACAGTACACTGTGGGTACATGAAGGAGTGAGGATTTGGGCCCAGTTCTGTTTGGTGTTAAAGGCCACGGCCCTTCAACCATATCTGCTCTTTCCTGGAGTAAAATAATACTTTAAAGCAGCAGTCCCCAACCTTTTTGGCACCAGGGACTGGTTGGTATTCCTATAAGAATATAATGCCTGATATCTGAGGTGGAGCTGAGGCGATGATGCTCGCAATGGGGAGTGGCTGCAAATACAGATAAAGCTTCGCTAGCTTGCCCACCACTGACCTCCTGCTATGCGGCTCGGTTCATAACAGGTCACGGACCAGTACTGGAGGTTGGGACCCCTGCTGTAGAGTCTGTGCAGGATTGCTGCCATCTGGGGCTGTGGGTAGGCTGCTCCTAGAGAGGGTGGGTGCATTCTTCCTGACCACCACTGGGAGCGCCCACTCCTTAAAGTGGGGGCCTCGGAACCCTCGGTGAACACTCCTCACCTCTGAACAACCCAGAGGGATTGCTGACAGGCGAATCACCTCTTGAGCTTGATGTGAGCATCGGCAGGAGGAGGAACTCGCACCCTCAGGGAGGAGGACCTACCAGCACCAATGGGGCTGGGCTGTGTGACTTCAGGCAACTCTATTCACCTCTCTGTGCCTTGGTTTCTTTTTCTGTAACATCTAATTTCCCAAGATCTTTTCTCTTCTGTTTCTTTATAGAGAATCTCTGGAGCAGAGGGGCAGGAGCTTAGGTCTGGAAGGGAGATTAAGCATTTTACTGCATCCTCACAACAGCCCAGAACACACAGCAGAGCCTGGAGAGGGCATGACACTCACCGAAAGTCACACAGCTGAGAAGGGACAGGACATAGATGGCCTTCAAAACCAGGTGTGTGTGATTCCAGTGTTAGGATGGTCCATGCCAGCAACTTTCTCACGAGGTGGGTGGTCAGGGGGCCTCAGGCAGTTGTTCCATGCCCACCATCACCCCCACCCAGAGCCTCAGATGTCTAGCTACGTGCAGGCCAGCACCCCTACTATCCTGTCCTCACCAGTTGCTGGGCAGGGGAGGAGGAGGGAGCCCAGGCCACACACCCACCTGCTTGATGCACTGCAGTCGGTCATTGGTCTGCTGGATGTGCCTGTCCATAGAATTCATTCTGACCGTTTCACTGGGTTCTACCCGAGAGCCATGAACGTTGTCCAGCCTGTAAAGAGAGGAGAGTGGGAATCAGTGGGGTTGTGCCAGGCTTGCCAGCCTCATAGCCGCTCTCCAGCCCCAACACTAACGTGCTGGCCCCAGTGGCTCACGCCAGGGTCTAGGGCCCTTTGCGAGCCATGTTGGCCTCTGCCCCTGGCAGCCCTGCGCTGGAGGGAGGAACTGTGGGCCCAGCCACTCCTTCCCACACTTAGCCCTGGGGAGCTCCATCTTCTGAAGGCAGGAGGTACTCCTGAGTGTTCTTCGTGGTAGCTAATGTGAGCACTGGTCAGGCAGGTCCACCACGGGGCATGGAATTGCCCACTCAGATACATGCATTTCTATACACATGTGTCTGTGTGTTAGGTGGTGGTGGTGGTGGCGGCGGTAAAGAAACCTCATCTTCAGATTCCTGGTTCAGGCTGAGCCCACTCAATGTGGTTCTGTGTGCATGTGGTGGTGGTGGGGGGCGGGTCTTCCCACGTGACAACTTTCACTGCATGACTGGTATAAGTGTAGCAATCCTGTTGCGGGTGCTGTGTGCCTCCCGTGCTTTAGAGTTCTTGACACTTTACAAACCACTCACAATTCCATTTTTCCCCTTTTGCCCTCCCGGGAAAGAAGGAGGGAAGATATTGGCATCATCCCCGTTTTCCAGATAAGGAAACGGAGGCTTACAGAGAGGAAGGGCGTTACCCCTGTTGGCAGAGTGAGACAGTGTCAGAACCCACCCAGGAAATGGGGCTGACGGCCAGCCCATGACTGCGTTGTCCGGTTACATGGATGTCCTGGCCACCAGGCTCACTCTTTCTGAATGGGCGGCGGGCTCAGGAACACTAACATGAGTGCCGCTTCCTCCCAGGTGCTGAAGCTAAGTCGAGGGAATGCTTCAGCTCCAGAAAGACTTGGAGACTCCAGGCCTCTCCAGGGAAGCCACGACGGTAAAGGCAGAGATGGAGACAGAGAGACAGAGATGGAGAGAGAGGGGAGAGTGTTTTGCTCTAGGACGCCCACTGCTCAGGGGAACAAGTCCTTGGGCCAAAGCAGAAATCTGCCCACTGCTGGCTGGGTCTGCCCTCCTACAATCCAGTGAGCATTTCAGACTGCAGACACATGGACCAGATGCAAGGTGCTGATCAGAGGCTTATGGCCTCTGGCTTTCTCTGCTATCCTGATACTGCCCCCGCTGAAGGTACCCCATCTCCAGCCATGCCACCCAAGGCCCCTTATACTGGGTACTTTCTGTATACTCGGCCCCTGAATTCTCTCCTTTACTCCTCATGCTCACGCTATGAGATGAGAACTATTTTTTTTACGGATGAGGAAACTGAGGTCTAGAGACCTGCCAAGACCACGTGGCTAGTAGGAGCTCGGACTGTGTCCACATGCATGTCTGCTTCCATCTCCTAGCCTCTGCCCCAGCACAAGCACCCTCACCGAGGAAACCAACAGCATGCCTGGCTCGGCCTTAGGAAGAAAGCCTCGTTCCTCCTCCAAGGAGCTCTTCACTACACAGCTCTTTTAAATCACTTCTTATTGTTCCATTTGTGCTTGAAAAGGTAACTTATTTGCATGGTTCAAAATGAGAAAGTCTATAAGGGTATCCAGTGAAATGCTGGCCCTGTCTGTCCCTGTCCAGGTCCCAGGTGCCTTTTCTAGGAGAACCAGTCACCAGTCTCCTTCCAAGGCGCTCATCTTAGAGAAGCAAATATCTATATGCATTCTCTCCTGGCCAGCCCTTAAAAAAAACAAAAACATTGTATACACACTATCTGGATCTTACTTTTTTCCTCTTAATGATATCTCAAAGTTTATTCCACATCAAGACATAAAGAACCTTTTCATTTTTTTAATGGCTGCACAGTATTCCAAGGTATAGATGAATCATTTGTACAACTAGCATTTGAATGTCTACCCCCACCAGGTGCTGTCCTAAGGCCTGAGGCCCTAGATAAGACCTTCTTGCTCAGGGAGGGAGCTCACACTTCAGCTTGAGTAATGAAGCCTGAAGCTGGCTCCTAATTTCGTTATTGGAAAGCGTGTTGAGGATCACCTTTTATATTGGCCACATCATCCACGTGTGAATTAACCTAGAGAACAAACTCTTAGAAGTGGAGTTACTGGGTCACTTGGGCACTTATACTTTTAATAAGCACTTTCCAGGTTCATTTCATCTTGGAGCTCTCCAGCAAAAAGGTAAAAATGGGGTAGTACCCCATATTTATTTCTTCCACCCTCACCCTGCCAACTATCCCTCTATTCACCCCACCTATCACACATGTATACACCCCAATATCCAACTTTTCCGTCCAACATTTATCCATCCAAATGCTTGTCCATCCACAGGTCCATTCATCCACCCATCCATCTAAACATTGTTAGTCTCCACTTGCCCATCCATACATGCTTCCAACTCACTCAGTAGATATTTAGATATTTTCAATTTCTATACTGTGCCGATCCTATGCTAGATCTATAGGGCATGCAGAAATTGAAATGAAGTAATTTTCTTGTGTTCAAGGAACTCTTGGTCCAAGCTTGTATTCACTCCAGGTCACCTTTCAGATGACTATTTGTCATGCTCCTCCTATAAGTCAAGTGCTGGTCCAGGTACTGGGCACAGATAAAACACTGTTAGTATATCTCTACTTTACAGATGAGGAAACTGAGGCTCAGAGGTTAGAGTAGCAGTTGGCTCTGGAATCCTGATGTTCCCATTATAGCCTAAACTTTAGTATAAGTACTGGTGCCAGGGGTTGCTCAAGGAGGTTGCTGTGGTGTTGTAGGCATGTGTGTTGGGGAGAAGGAAGTGATGAGGGTATTGCTCCCCTCGCTGGGGCTCAGTTTACCTGCACAGAGCCTCAGCCAACACAAATCATGGTGGCTTAGCAGGAACATGGGAGAGCCCAGAGTGGGAGCAAGCCAGTGCCACCTTCAGTGAGGCCACCTTGGTGTCCAGTGTCAGATCCCATTTGAACTGAAGTGACCCTGGTGGTCTCCTGGGCACCACATGGTACACAGCCCGCACCCAGGGCATGGGTGAACGCTGGCTCCAGGGTCCCAACTAAAGAGGCAGTTTCCACAGCCAGCTGAAGGAACCCATTGAACAAAGGCCTGGGTCAGCTTGGGAGGAGCCTGAAGGGAAGTACAAAGGAATCCCAGGTCGATACAGGCCTCAATCCCCTGTCCTCAGGCTGTAGACAACCAGGACAAAGGGCCTGTGGTGGCCCATGTGGCCAGCAGGGGGCACTGTTGACAAACTTATGTGCCCAGAGGGCTAGAAAGCTACACTGGAGGTTTGGGACTCTCACCGGGTCCTCCTTTATTGTAGTGAGAATCTGTGTGCCCCCAACCAGAGGGGCTTTGAGAAGACTTCTCTGGCTTTCTAGGCCTTTGTTTCCCCATTTGTAGAGCAGAATGGTGAGATGAGGGGATTAGATGGTCTCATGAGGCTCTATCTCTAAGTGGGAACTTTTCCCAGGATGGGCATGGTGTTTTTGTCTGGGGTCAGAGACCTAGTGGGGCCTTGAGAAAATATTTGTTGAATGACTGATAGCTCATTTCTGGAGCCCAGGGGCACTCAGCCCACCCAGGGAAGCCCCTAGCAGGCACTAGGCATCCAGACCCACCCAAGCAGTAACCTTTGGGCCCAGAGGAAGGAGGGCCACAGATCTCACTTTAGGAAGCAAACAGAAAAGGGGGAAACAGAATTGTCCAAGTTCAGGACAGTCTCCATGCTGGCTCATGGCAATCCTGCCTTGAAGCCAGTGGCTGGACTGATTTGGCTTTTGGATTCAAAGATTCTCAAATATCAATAGCCAAAGGTGCTTTGAGGTCTTGCACCAACCTAACAGTTAAGTGGTTTTATCTGGGGGAGCTCAAGACCCACAGTGATTCGTCCAAGGCCACACAGCACGTCTGGGCTGGGTACAGGTCCCAGAAGACTTTTCTCCCAGGTTAGGGTTCCACGTTATAGAAACCAAGAAATGAATGGCTGGGCCTGGAACACCTGTGAGACCTAGAAGGTGAGTGGCAGCTAGCAGGAGAGACATCATAGATCGCAATCGTGCATCATGTGGGTCTTAATCTACAATAAAAGAACAAAATGTCTGGCTGGTCAAGGAGGCACTCATAGGTGAGGTGACATTTTTAAATCGCTGAGATCAATGGAAAACTGGGGTTATTAACATCAGGAATAAATGGGGCTGGCAGCTCCAGACCTCGCATAAGAGGGGTCAGGGCCTGGAAGGCTAAGGGTTCCTGGCATGGAGAGAGAAGGGGGAGGGGCTGAAGGAGGAATGAGAGAGGTAGTTCACTGAGGAGCAGTCTGGGATCTTCCATCTATTCTGAACCTGCTCTGTGCAGGCACCAGCCCAGATCCTGTGCATTGCTAATTTACTTAGTCCTACAAGGTTCAGAGAGTTGGTGTGACTTGCCCAGGGTCACATAACGGGGAAGGTGTTGGGCTGAGATTCAACATTTTTGCCTTTCTGTTTCTATGATGTTCTTTCCACTCCACCAGGACTGAAGTTCAGAGCCTCTTGAAAGTTCCAAACCCAGGCTGTGACTGGGCCCAAAGAGATGTCTCACTGGTTCCACTCCAACTGTCCAAATCCACCTACGTGCTCTAAGGCCATCCCAGTACTACTGGGCTCCCTGCACGCTTGCTAGCATGGCAGAGTGGCGGTGTTCAGTGGCCAGCAGAGGTCGCCCTCTGCCGTGGGAGTGTTGCTTGGCCATCTCTGCCTCCCTCCTGAGAGACTGGATTCCTATAAGCCTTTACAAGTCACTATAAATCCTCCATGGCTGCAGCTCCAATGCCCACCGCAGCGCTCCCTCCCAACTGGAGATCGCTGTCAGCTTGGCCCCCTGCCCCGGGTGCACCCATGGCCCCAGCCCTTCCAGTTGCCTGTCTGCCTCTAAATGGGAGTGGGCCCAAGCAGTCAAGCCCTCACCTGCTTTGGCTCCTGGTCCTCCCCACTGGTCTGAGCAGACTCAGCCTGAGGTGAT